ACGCTTATGTTAGTTGGTGAAATTGTCTAAAAACTTTTAACTTCATAACCTGAAGTAAAACACTTTTATAGAATGTTTTATATATAAATATTGAAAAAATTGTGTTTTTTTTTTTTAATTTAAAATCTTTTAAAATTTCAACAAGATGAGAAAATAAGGTATCCCCTGAAATATATATAGCTCACTTATCCGATCATCAAAACAAAAGATTGTTAGTATAAATAATGAATTGTTCAATGTATTCATTTTTTTACATTTAACTGTTTCAGAAATTATCGAATTAAAAATATTGACTTCCATTAAAAATCAAAATAGGTACAGTAGATTAATACATATGTTCCAAAAGTCCATATCACCCTTGGTATCTCTGTGGAAAATCAATATATTTAAATTTGGTTTTTTTTATACATTAACAAGTATGGAATTCTAATTAAATGCCATAAAATTCAATTTTTTTTTTCAAAAATTAAAAAATGTTGCAACATTTTTTTATACAACAAACATTTAAAATCTTACGAATAATATTTTCATGTTCACAATCAATTTCATACCTATTTTCTTTTACATTTAAACAAATTAGATCGACATGGTAAAATATTACTCCCGAAAAAATGAAATTTGCGACAAGATGCAAAATTATGGAAATGAGTATCAATAGATCGTTAAAATCCGTCGTACAATGTTCTATACATATATCATTAAATCTCGGTTTTAAGCAACAGGCAAAATTGTGTTATCCTCAAATAATATTTTTTTGCAAAGCTCCACTTATAATTAGATATTTGCAGATTGTAGAAAAAAAATCAGCGTTCCAATCAAGATTGATTAAATTATCATAGGATGTGTTTTTTGCTAATATAACTATTATTCTTAGTATACCTAGTGAAAATGATCGAACCTAACTTAAACTTTGCAGTACGATGTTAACAACATAATTTGCTTTAAAAGGCCGCTACACCCTCCAAAAATATAAGCTACAAGTACAACACATTCATCGTCAAACTGAGTAGCTAATTATTTATTACATACACCCCGTAGAGAACATTTTTGTACACAGCGTTATTAAAAAGACCTGGGGCCCTATTCTCGAATTTTGTCGCATTCGACATAAATCAGAACTCGATCGATTCATCGTCGAACTCGATCGATTCGTCGTCCATGGACCATGGTATTCTCGAAATGATGTATGACTTTTCTCGAACGAAAAACGTTCGACATTATGTCTACTGCTATACCGCATTCGACAAAATTTAGTCGAATGATTTGTTAATTTCGAGCACCATAGATTTAATATATTTCACACAAATCAACTGCAGAATACTATGATTATTGATAAGTCATCTTGTATTCTTGTGTTGAGGTACTTGTATTACGATTGTCGATTACCTTTTCATTTTGTTAATTTATTATTGTTGTTTTATTTTATAACTGCTGAGTTAATATTTTATTAAATATAAAAATAATGGCGAATGAATATGAAAGAGCTATGATGTTTGCTATTGCTAATATAGAGAGGCAAGAAGCTCAAAATGTCAGACAACCGTTTGGCATTAAAGTAGACCCTTTATTAGCATTAAGTGATCATCTTTTTATAAAAACTTACCGATTGAGTAAAGTTTTAACAAATATTTAATCGAGTTAGTCACTCCATTTAATATGGTAATATAATAGGTAATAATAGGTATATTAGGTATAACAAGGATTAACAATTAAACAATTTGATTAGTAACAATCAGTATCAATCACGAATTAAGATATATCTTAATTCGTAGTATCAATATATCATATTTTGGAGGGAATATTTCTGATAGTAAATGAATTTTAGGTTATACCATTGTGGTTCACTCGACAAGATTATTACTAGTCGACATAATGTCGAATGCGACTAATTTTAGTCGAATGCTTTTGGAGAATAGCGTTTTGCAGTCGACTACGACATAATCATTCGAGTTTAGTCGCACACGACTTCTTGTCGATCGATATCGAGAATAGAACCCCAGCAGGGGGCCGATTCTTGAAATCAGACGACTAATTCTGTGACATAAAGCATACATTTTATCGACTGTGACAAATTTTTATCTCATGCGACATACAATTACTAAGAACTTTTACTATTACCTTTTATAGGATTTTTAATAACTTGATTATGAGTTATAAGTTATAACCATTAAAAATTATTTAACTATTTACTATGTTGTATAAGTTTGGCTTTATGTGTAGCGTCCCCTAACTTGGTTAAGTTTCACTAAATTGTAATACTTTTTTGGTTAAAACTGTTTTTAAAATGTAATCAAGAAAATTGATATCTTGAAAATTAAAAAAACTCAAGTCCATAAAAAAATGTTTAATCTTATGACATTCAAAATTTCTAGGCTTATAACTGTAAAAATCTGAATTTAAATATATTGATTTTCCATGGAGATCGGTAGGTACTAAAGCCTAAAGGCGATGTGGAACTTTTGAGACATAGGTACTGTGTAGACGTATGGTGAGATAGTGAGTTCAATGTTCAATGTTCATGCAAACATATGAGGATAAAAACAAATTAAAAATTAGAATTACCTATTTACCTATATATTATAGGATACCTATATATTATACTGATGTGGGACGGGTAATGTGAGACAAGATAGTGGATACTAAATTGTATTGTGTAGGTAGCTATTTTGTATGTACAATGTACATACTATTATTAAATTTTAGATTAGAATTTAAACAATACCTATTTAATATTTATTTACATACACAGATAAAGTATTTTTATCATTACAAGTAGGTACATAATAATATACATTTAAATATAAAAGAGGGATAAAGTAGGTAACTCCTCTGCTGTACAGTTGTAGACTGTAGTAGTCAAGTAACTACTTCTTCATTGAGTGGGTCACTGTAATCTTAATCTATAATGTTATACTTGAATTCAATGATAAACCATACCAAATAAAAAACGATTTTTAACTGAGTCGCCGGTCTATCAGGCGTCAATCTATTATCATATAAATATATTGCTATTAATAAATAATAATTTATCATTATAATAATTTACAAGGTTGGGCAAGTTAGGTAACTAATTTCTTTGACACTTTAGGTTAAGATAATATAGAAAAATGTGAATGAAGTTTAAAGTTAAAAGTACCCATTTAAAATTGTTTATATTTGTTCATTTTGATTTAATTTTTTTCACATACCTATTTATTGTCAAATAAAACCAATTACCTAAATATTACTTTCATATTACTTAAATACTTAATATTTATTATTATTGCGTACTTCTTTATAAATATGTTAATGTTACTCGACACATTTTGATACTTTAGTTTTGAACCAATTAATTGACTTCACATTATAATTAAATGTTCATTTTTCAATATAATATACCTAGTGAAAAGTTATCTTTCGTTTGTTTAAAAATTTTAGAGACACCAGTAGATTTTATATTTTTATGCTAAGGCCCTTAAAATTTTAGTTAGGTACACCACAGCTATATATACCTTATATATATTACTATATATAAAATAAATTTATTTTGCCAAGTGTTAGACAGGGTGAATTCGAGAACAAAGTGACTAAGATTTCTAAGAGTACATAGAACATAATATATCAAAAATAACAGATACCGTAAAACCGGGTGAATAGAAACTTTTGGGTAAATAGAAACAAAATCAGTGTCTTTTCTCAACGTCCCTACAATCGAGTATTGATGTTTTCAATATTCTTAATTCACATTATCAATTCTCAACTAGTGCGGTTTTCAAATAATCAAGGATTATTATTTTATTGCTCCTCCATGATGTCCATACAAATACGAAAAAAAGTGAATTTTTATCAAATTTTGCTTCTATTCACCTCTAATTTGTTCGTTGAATAAAAATATACTATGCATGTTTCTATTGACCCCATTTCCAAAAATCAAAAGTTGAGCATTTAAAAAATTATATAAAATAACCTGTTAGTAATACAAATATTTTGACTGAACATAAGTTAAAGTACTTAAAAAGACCAGTATTTTGATGTATTGATCATCTATAAAGCACAAATAGAAAAGTTTGTATGATACTTCAAAGTTCATAAGTGTTTCTATTCACCCGGTTTTACGGCAACAAAATAATATCAATCATACATTTTTAAATAGCAAGACAAATGTGTCTTACAAATATTTCTTAGTATGATATTAATATATTCTAACAATAATGGTAATTAAATATTAAGTTAAAATAAAACTTTTAAAACAAACAAACTGAATACATATCATGTAAGATACTGATATGTGGGTAATTGTATGACACTTTGTTTTCTATTTAAGTTGATAACATTTTTCTTTGTCAAAAAGCTTAAAAATGTAATACCATACATCTAGGTAACATTCATCATAAGTGGTTCTTACAGTCCTTTTTTTATTAACTTAAATCATTTGAAGTATGTGATCGAGAGGTGCAAATGAAAAATTGTGTTGTCATTCCATACAAATGTTATTGGGCCACTACAGAACTGTATCTGACTATCCGAGGGGTCCATAGGGGTTGGACTCTCCTAACAACCTCAACAATGTTTCGTGATAAAATAATTAAAAATGTTTAAGGATTATTACCTTATATCTGTTTAGGTAAAAATTACCTTTAGTATGTAGTAGAAACAAATGTAAATGGAAAAATCTATTTGTTTATACCGAGTATAAGAAATGACTACCTATTTCAAATCACATTTTTATGTCTTTGTCTTTATTGTCTTTATTCAAGTAATATATACAAACATAAAAGTGTACATCACGAATGTATGTATAAATATTTCATAAAAACAAGTAATAGTAAACAATTATAGAACTTAAGTTTAATCTAAATTGCACAGTAAAAATACATCAATAAATATTTTTTATCATACAACTAAATTTCAAAAAACTGGATCATAGTACTTTTTGGTTACAATAATATTTTAGGAACATACAAGGTACTTTATACAACAAATATTTATTAAAACCAATCAATATAAAACATAATATTTTATTAATATCCGGATGAATTTCCTGGCCGTCTGAAATCTGGCATAGCTTCAAACATCCCTGAAGAAGTTTTAGCAATGGCTGTAACTGCTGATGCTCCATTCTCCAATCTAATGACTGGATGACCAATATCCATAAGTTTATTTACTATATCCTGAAAAGATGCAATGGACTTATAATTAACATTGAACTAGTACTATAACTAAAGAAATCATTTCTCACATACCTTAGTCGTTCCATACTCATATTGTACTTCCATAGGTATAAGTTGGTGGTATATTCTGGGTTGGTCTATCACTTCTTTTAATGTTTTATTGTACCATAAATTGAGGGCAGACACCTGAAAACAGCAAGCATTTTTGAGATATTATACAATTTTAAAACATTATTTAAATACTGATAATAAATTGATTATAAATACTTCAAAAATACTATTAGTATTATTTATAATCAATGCTTATTCTGATACTTCATTAGAATAATTATAACTTTCTTAATCCCACAGATACCTAATCAATCAAATTTGTTCAATTTCTATTATATGCAATATACTTTTAATAATCTCAAGTTTGTAAGGTAAGTACTTAAAAATACAGGGTTTTAAAGGGTATATAAAATGACGGAAGATATAATGATAAACTATGTTATTTGTAAAACCTAATTAATACCAATAAAAAGTAATTTTAATAGAATTATGTGGAATGATTAATTCAATAAACACCTAAATACTAAATAGGTTATTTAAAATATTGTAAAAAGTATTTTGTAGCAATAGTTATGGTTCTTAGTTATGTCTATTAGATATAAATTAAAATAGAAAATTACTCAAGTAGGTATGTAAATTATTTATTCGCCTTTTATACAACTATTTAAATGTTGGAGCTAAATAAGATATAATTTCAAACTTACTAAAACAATTTCAAGTGAATAAAAAAATTTCAAACAATATAGATTTAGAAAAAGAATTCATACATAAGCAGTAGCAAGAGTGATTTTCGATCCTCCTGCCGCTCCGACTCCAAGAACAAAGTCACCATTTTTATCAGTAAATATAGTTGGACACATTGAAGACATTGGTCGCTTGCCTGGTTCGATAAAATTGGCAGGTGAAGATGGAATACCATAATAGTTAATGACTCCAGGAGTAGAAAAATCATCCATTTCATTATTTAAAAGTATACCAGTACTAGGGGACATGAAACCACAACCGAAGCTGAAATAAAAATTAAATCAGTGCCTATGTTACTAATGTAATAATTTACATAATATGTAAAAAAACTCTTTAATACTTACTAAGTATTTAATGTACTTGTAGCTACAACAGTATTGCCCTCTGAATCTGTTACGACAATGTTAGCAGTCCCATGATTCTCTGGCATATCGTAATCAGCTCCATAGTATCTTGGATCTGACGAAGTAAAACTATCAGATATATTATTTCGAATATTATTGAAGTATCTATCTGATTTTACTTTATCATAAATCTAAAAAAGTAAGTCTATTCAAGTATGGGTATGTTAAGAGCATTATAAATTTAAAGTATTACTTGAGACACATTAACAAATTTATGATCTCCTAAATGGGTTCTTGCCCCAAACCCAAATTTGAAAGCTTCCACAAATCGATGTGCGTCTAAGCCAATATCAGGTGCTGGTAATATCCCATCCAATATTCGGAGTATGTATGCCAATATGATACCAGAACTAGGTGGTGGCCCAACATGTATTGTATGTCCACTTTTTAAATTTACTGGAAAAGACTCTTTGATTTCAATTCTAAAAACATAACATTTATTTTTGTAAATACTATAATGAATTATATAAGTACAATGGGCATACATAATAAATTGATTTAAAAATTACCAAAGGTTACATTTCTATTTGGCAGTGGTGTAGCTAGAATTTTTTTTTTGTTAATTAAAAAAAAAAGAGAAGAACTGTATACTATAAATATAAAATAATATAAAATAATATAAATTGGAGTATTTTATTTTATCACCCAAAAAAAATCAAAATCAAATTAAAGCCCAAAACTTAAATAAAAATTATTAAGTATAATTAATAAAAACCATATTTATTATTATAAAAAGAAGTATAAAAATAAAATATTTTCAAAGATAAAATTCTAATTTTTACACAAAATGGCTACATGAGAAATCGAGTGAATTTCCAATCTTGTAAAAATATGAACTTTTTATTTGTTTGTAGACATTTTTTTTTATTTTGATAAAGGTAGACAAACTTCTGAGGAAACCTGTATTACATTTTAAAATCTTAGATTTAAATAGAAACATTTTAATGAATTTCTAACTAAAAATAATTTGCACATTTTCGGGAATTTTAAGTATTTTGTCTATATTTGCCTTCACATGCTTATAACAAAAATTGTGAGTATGGATTTTTAATATTTTTCATCTGTCTTTGAAACAATATATTAGGAGCCTTCTATTAAATTTTCAAGCTTTTTTACCCAACAAATAACATTTTATTTATATTTATAGAATAAAAACTAAACAAATTGAAAAATGAAAATGTCCGTAAACAGCTCAAAGTAAGTCAAAATATTTTTAAAATGGTATGGTGTATAGAAAATGCTAACATAAACATTCAGTCAAAATGGCATGTATCTACGGTCATTTGTTTTAGAATTACAACAACAAACAAAATCGATTTTTTCAAAAATTAATTTTACGTAAATATTCCCGTTTTTCCTTAATTTTGCTTTTGTTTTTCATGGCCAGTTATTATTAAATTTTAATCCCTCAAAGTACCAACTAGATTCACTTTCCTTACAGAAAAGATACTGTTGAAGGAAATCTAAGCACTTTTACTGTACTAAAACGTGATGAAGACACAAAAAATAAATAAATAAATAAAAACAAAAAAAAACACACTTCATTGTGAAATCAATACATTATCGCTCCACTCAGAATCTAAAAATAAATAAATAAAAGATACTTGAAAGTTTCACAAATATTTACATTAGAATTTTCTTTGAATGATAACAACTTTTTAAGCTATTTATAGGTACCTTAAATTTTAAATTTGTTTTTGGTTTTTTTCTAAAATGTCGATGAAAATTTTCTTGCCTGGTCAATGACCAATGGTCATGGAGCTTGAAAATTTAATACAAGATTCCCTATAAGCAGTTTTTTTTGTACACAATTGAGGATAACATTTTGTCAAAATTAGATTATATTTAAATGAAGAATAACGATTTAATTATTTTGTTGTAATTTAAATATTTTATCCCTGCGTTCTTAACACTTTTAACGTAGGTATATTATTATATTTTAAACATACAATGAAATTTCCAAATACAATGTTTTCGCAAAAATGAATTGAACATTTGAACCCATCGTATTACTAATAGTAAAATTCATAAAGTATAAGTTACTTACGTATAATCGGCTAAATCTTCTTTTGTGATTATTCCATTCACTTCTTTTAAATCTTCCAATAGTTTAGATGTTAACGAACCATTGTAAATGGCATCTACACCTTCTTTTGCTATAATTTTCATTGTTTCTGCCAACTTTGGAAAATTATACTGTTCCCCGGCGGTTTTCACGTGACCGGTTTTTTCATCAAAAAAAGCTTCTCTACAAAATAAAACACAAAACTTTTATTTATTTATTTAAATAATATAAATTCTATGATAAAAATGTTATGTGTATAATAAAATATATATTATGCACAAAAATAATTAAGGAATCTAATCTTGTAGTTTTAATGTTCACTTAAATACTTAATGTTGTTATTTATACCTGAGCAGTAAGTCATTTTTTATCAAGTCTTCGTGATTATTCAAGTTAATTGCTAGACGTTTACTGATCGTCATACCTTCTTCGCATAATTTAATAGTTGGTTCAAATAACGATTCCCACGAAACGCCACCACCGTATAAATTATAAATTGTGGAATAGCCTTTGAGTTCCCCTGGAACTGCAACCGCCATTCCTCCTAGATTAAAAAAAAATTATAATTTCCTTATTTTTTATAGGAATCTCTAAATTGCAATGACTTTGAGTTAATTATATTTTATTGTGCATTTGTGCATACTATAATTTAATACGCGTTAAGACATAAAAGTTGACGATACTGGATACGATTGTAACATTTTTCAAGTTATGATTATTATGATTTATTATTTCCAGAATTCTACTCTTGAGAGGTTCTACTTTATACTTTGAAACATAAATGAATGATAGCCTTGGAATAAATACGGCTTGTAATATCGTTTCAGCAACCCCCAATAATTCATCAAGCTATAGTTGCGCCAATGCCACATAGACCAAGGCTTTTTCAAATTGTTTTTTGAACATGTATGTAACAAGTAGGTACCGTATATAGATTTCAAAGGATCTTCTACGAACATTGATATAGTCGCAGCAGCAGGAGCTGTTTCACGGGCATCGATTGTCATCACTTTTTTGGTTGATGCGTTGTAGATACTCATTATGAATCCTCCACCGATACCCATGTACTCTGGACACAGGGCACCTTCGCACAACATTGTAGCTACTGCTGCATCAACGGCATTTCCTCCATTCGACATCACGTCCCTTTTTAAAAACAATAATATAGCCGGATTACTAAAATATTATAAGCATTTTAATGTCCGAGAATTCAATCAAATATCTTGACGTTTATTTTCATAACAAAATTCACATATGGGGGATGGAGTGGCCGAGCGGACTAAGGCGTCGGTTGTGATGCACACCGACGCTGGTTCAAACCTCGGTTCACGGGGCGGCATTTTTCTTCGGGCAAGTCACGGTGTCCGGAGAGAAGTGCCGCCATCCCTCACCTGGGCATGGCAGATACCCATGGGTGCCCACTAAAAAAATCTGCCAAAACTACACACACGTGTTTACAAACCAACAATACCCCCCTCCCCCTACAAACAAACAATAACAAAAACATATCTCCTTTTTTGTACAAGTTTTGTTATTATTTGTATTAACAAAAGTTTAAAGGGCACGGGCAGTGTAGGTAATTAAAGTATAATACATCAATGTGAGAAAAACTAACCCCCCATCTCACATTATCTACGAAACACAAATCTTTTAGTAACATTTCCTTTACATGTTTTTATTTTTTTGTTAATTAATTAAATATATTTTATTGATAATATATTTCAAAGAATTAAGAAACTGTACATTGTAGCTTCCCACCAATTTTAAATTCTGCACGTGCCATATCTGTAAGATAAAATGTTTATTATTATTACACTCCAATTTGTGCACACGGTCCGCCGTTGGACACAACACCGACCTTGTTGTACAAACCCATCGGCATACTCGATGGCGGAATCGGGAATTCCGGATCGGGAATACTGTTGTGGTCGTTGTGGACATGGTGTGACGAAAATACGAAAAAAAACAACACTACTGTGCCTAATACCACCAGTCCTGTTAGGTAATAACGCATCGATTGTAATCTGAAAAAACAATAGAAAATACATTTTATGTTATAGTACTATATAGGCTCTTTATAATATTATGCATAACCACGTTCGACACAATGTTCAATGGATTTCATTATCATATTAATTGCAAGATATATTTTTATTAAATTAATGCATGAATGCCATCAGTGCCACTGATTCAGTGGCGTGATGATGAATAAGTGAAATACTTTATCAGCCAATTATTTTTCGAATAATAAAATGCTGATATGTATATTATAATTTATGTATTATGTATATAATATCATGCTACAAAATTAGTGTGACATAAATGGAAATATACCTAATATATGAAATTATCAGAGACGTATTTAGGGGGAGAGAGGAGGTAGCATAATATATATAATCATTCGTCGATCAAGAGACATGAACATTTTTTACCATGCCTATAACAATTTTAACTAAAATTCAATATAATTGAGTGCTATAAAATAATTAAAATATAACTTTTGTTATCATACTTAGGGCCGTTCTTACGATGTCCGGTTAAAGTTAACCGACACTTAACCGGAAGAATTCTGCCGGTAATAAAATCTGTTATCAGTCGGTTAGCGTTAACCGACACTTTACCGGATATTGTAAGAACGGCCCTTAGTAAAATATTATTGTTTATATAAAATATAATAATACACGTAAGAGATTGTTGTTTTTCCTAATTATTTTGAATATTATGACAAATTTTTCACTTTTGAAAGCCCTCAACTATTTTTTCTTTATACATAATGATAAAATAATAATTGTTGAATAAGATTAGACATTTTCAGGCTTTTAAATAAAAACTCAATACCTGGTATTTTGGCTCTTTTATAACTTTATAAGATACTATAGGTATTTATTTTCTTTTAGCTCGTTTTAGCACTTATGTTGACTATCGTAAAAATTATCAAAGGGAGGGTTTCCAGGAGACGCCTTGGTTGTGCAAATGGTTATATTACAGATATAATTGTTTTTTTTCGTTTTTTCCAAATACAAATTTATAGTATATAAAATATACAAATATAATTTATATAATGCATCATATTATATAAATATACCTTTACAGGCTTATAGTAAATATATTATGTACTGATCGTAAATACAAGTAATACAAAGTACAAACGTACCTGATGTTCATATTGCCCATTCGTTTTCTGTTTGCCTTGATAAATCGATGTACAATCTAAAAAAAATAATATTACCTATAGACGAAAACTTAATTTGGTGCCTATTATGGCGATTTATAATAGTGACACTCACATTGGGACGATCAAAAACAAACTGAATATGATATAAATATTTCGTTATTATAACTGATTCATACTATCCAACCAAGATTGCAACACTCAAGATTTAATTGTTGAATAATGCCATAACAATTAAATAGATCATGATCAGTATTAAAAACGAAATTAGAAACATTTAAATATAATAATATAATCATTAATCACTATACAAGTTCTAGAATTATGCACTGTATTATTGTAATTTGTAGGTATTACATTAAATAGTAAGTACTATTATAGGTATTATAAGTCATTATAATATTATAAAATTAATATCTAAACAAATACGTTATTAATACCATCGCTTTAAACTGTGCTTTGTTATCTCTGGAACTAAATATAAGGCGTAAGTGAGGTTACAATTTATTCAAAGCCGATAACACTAATTTAGGACCTCATCAGACAACTTACTTGAATCCAAATAATATTTTGTACATAGATACACATACACAGATATTATATATATTATACAGTGAAACGAATAGAAAATAGGTACTGTAGGACGAATTAATAGTTACTAGGTACTCTGGGTATAACCAAAGCAAGTTAAGTTAATGATTTATTTTCAAATCGGCTTTGTTAATATGGAATAATGAGAAAAAGTTAATAGTTTTGGTTAACTTAATCAAGTTAAAAGTTAAAACAAAGTTTTTTTTAATTTTTTAAGTTAAGAAAAAGATTTTTTTTTTTGATTATAACTTTGCAGCCTTCTTTTTCTTTACCAACTCAAAAATACATAGGTAGTGTTTACACAGTAAATCTATATAGTAGGTATTTCATTGAAGTTATTCATCGCTAAAAAAATCGAATTATTTTTTTACATGAAATCTATTAAAATATAATAAAATAAATTAACTTAATTTCTTCCAATGAAAACTTAATTTGATTATTTCACTTTAATTCAATAACAACTAAGTTAAGTTAATCCTAAAGTAAATAGTTAAGTTGAAAAGTTAAGATTAAACTAACTTTTAAACTTAACTTTAACTTTTTGACTCGTTATTGCCTAACATAGGTATATTATTATTATTATTTATTAATCATAAATCATAATTGTTTAAATCATCGATAAAAATGTATGATTTTTTTTATTATGTCAATGTAATTTATTATTGTAGTTTCCAAATGTATTATAAAATACATAATAGTATTATAAGGTCACAGGATTACACCCAAACGCTAGTTGGACGCCGCCTCCTCCTCATATGTAAATAAATAACAAAAATGTATTTTATATGTCACCTCAACCCCTTCCACGGAAAATATTTTATTTAACATATTTTAATGAAGAATACATGGCAACAATTTCCCCTAAAAGATTTTACATGTTATTATTATAGGACACATTATATCACCAAATCAGAATCTTAAATATTATACTATATTATATTATATCGGTTCTATTTCATCATCACAACGTTCTACCACACATATATATAAGTATTTCTCGACCGTCGTAGAGAAAGAGAGAAATATAATATAATTATGATTATACTTAATTGAAATTATAATTCACAAAATTATTCTTGATACGCAAATATTATTCTGCGCCTACCTAATTATCAATAACTGCTGTCTTATTCAATATTCTAAAATAAAATAAAAAAAAGCGGGCAAGTGGGTGTCGCTCTGCTGTACACTATGGCTTGTAAGTGGGGCACTGTAATAGATATAAAATATATAAAACCATTGTATACTACGAAAAACAATTCTGAGCGAAGACAGTCTCAGTCTATAATAATACTAAGAATATTTTATATTATTGTGATTAAAGAAATTTATTTTACTATTAGGAATTATTCCTAGTACAGGTTAAATTAATTTTTTCCAGAAAAATTGCATTTGAACATTTAAATATGTGTATAAAATATAATAATATACTTTAAAAGTTTCAAGGACACACGAATAATATTTTTAAATTACAACAAAATAACTGAAATCGTTACAATGTGTGAGGAGCCTTGAATAAATTTCCAAGCTTTTAAAACCAACGATAAAAATTTTAGTCATCTATAAAAAAAAACTAAAAATTGAAATTTTGTCGAAGTATGAACATTATTTTATGGATAGAAAACGATAAGATAAACTTTTGGTCGATCTAGGACATCTTGGAGTGGCCGTATTGGCTTGGCCATATTTTCGTGGCCACTTTGGCGTAAACCAATTTAGCGTATGACTATATTTTGGCGTTAAGTTTTGGACTAATATGAATAGTATGCCAGTAGTTGTCTGTGCGAGTAATAAAATAAATAATTATGTAATAATTAATAAAGTAGGTGGAGTAAAAAATCAATTGATATAAATGTATGAATAAAAAGTTATTGACTTTAGGTTAGGTTAGTATACTACTAAGTTAGTTCATATAAATAAAAAAAAAATAGAATTTAGTAACAACTTAAATTTTGAGATGTGTGTATATTTCTCGACCGCGAATGCTCTTTACTTGTGCCATTGTCGATTACAACTGATTAGGTGAAATGTGAATATACCTCGACCTCGAATGCTCTTTATTATTGAGCCATTGTCGATTACAACTGATTAATAAATATTAAACTTTATGACAACTGATAACTGATAACTGATTACCCGCAACATACCCGAACAGACGACAGATATTCAGTCTCATCAGTCTGATTTTGTAGTCTACATAGTAAATATAGTAATATAATAGTAATTTTTTTATTACGCCAAAATAGTCTTCCAGCAAAATAATCTTATGCCAAAATAGTCATACGCCAGGATGGTTTACGCCAATACGGCCACTCCAAAATGACCAGGTCCCACATTTGGTGTAAATTTTAAGTATATTATCTACAACAAAATAAGAAGATCGTTCCATAAGAAATCAGGTGAATCCAATGTCGTAAAAATTTGAACTTCAAACGTTCAAAAAAATTAATTTGACTTTCCAGTAGAAATTTTGTTTATTTTGTTAAAATTAGACAAACTTACGAAGAAACTTGTTTTATAATTTTAAATCTTAGATATAAAAACAACCTACTTTATGAATTTTAAACTCAAAATAATTTGCTAATTTCCGTGATTTTGACAAATTTTGTGACTTTAGACGCTTATAAAAAATTATTGTGAATTTACGATCGACTAATTTCCGCTAACAACAACTTATGAGGAATCTTGTATGAAATGTTCAAGTTTTTTGATCAAGCAAACATTTTTTTATTGACATTCATTTTTAAAAAAACTAACAAAAATAAATTTCTTATAGGTACCTATATAAATAGCTCAAAACAAGTCAAAATATATTTAAATTGTATGGTGTATAGATAATTGTAACAAATAACATAAACATTCAGTGAAAATTACAAGTATCTAAGGTCATTTTTAGAATTACACCAGAAAACAAAATCAATATTGTTGAAAAGCGTTTTTATGTGAAAATTTACGATTTTCTTTAATTTAATTTTTATTTTTTCCGGTGTTTTTGAAAATAACTTTGAATTTTAAATTTTGACCTCCTGAATACTCAATGCCCTAACCAAACTTCACTTTCCCGCCAGAAAAGATACTGAATGTAAAAATCAAAACATTATTTTGACTACTTCTCGTTCACTATACTTATTGTCGCTCCACTCAAAATCTAAAATTGAACACCGAAAATACAAATACTTACACATATAACGTGATCAAAAAGGAAGTAGGTACCACTCTGCTGTACAGTAGATGTCCAGTGGGTCATTATTACAGTCCATTTCAATTTCCATTCAATTTGAATGCAATGCGAGTTACATGACATTTTGCCTGAATGTTTATATTAGCATTTTCTATACACCATAACATTTTCCAAATATTTTGAGCTGTTAACGGACATTTTCAGTTCACATTTTTTGTAGTTTATTTTTCTATAAATATCAATAAAACTTTATTTATTGGGTAAAAAAGCATTTAATACAAGACTCCAACTATATTGTTACAATAACATTTGAAAATTATTAATGATCCTTAGTCACAGTTTTTTTTATAAGCATTTAAGGTTCAATTCTTGACAAAATACGGAAAAATCACGAAAATTAGCAAATTATTTTGAGTTGAGAATACATAAAAATTTTTCTTTTTAACTCTAAGATTTTAAAATGTAATACAAGATTATTCATAAGTTTGTCTACCTTTATAAAAAAAAAAAACGTCTACAAGCAAATCAAATTAAATTTTTATGGGCTTTTGAATAAATTGACATTATTCTCAATAAATCAATATAAATTGACCATTTATAAAATTTAAAGGTTACATTATTATCTAGTGAATTTCATAGGTTTTTTTTTAGATTTTAATTGTATAGGAAGTTATGAGTATTTTAAAATTGTAAAATATGAGCATACAATTCGCTGTTACGCGTTTGTTATGACGGAGAGGTGTAGCATGCTCTTAAAAGTACCAATAAGATCCAATTTGCTATCAGAAAACATCCTCGAAACATTATTTTGACCACTTATGTGTATATACACTTAACATTTATGTATACATATACAAAAAAAAATCACATCATTGTAAAGTAAATGCATTCATTGCTCTGCTCAGAATCTAAAGTGTATTATGTTTAGGTAGGTATACCAACCTATATTTAAAAGTTTGTAGTACAACGAGTACTTTGAATTTAGTTTATACGAACAAGTGTAGGTACCTAACCAGTAACTTACCTAGGTATAAGAAATTAATTTTAATAAAGAAAAACACAAAATAATCAATTTAACACGGCAACGGGCGAATTGAAAAAGTTCGATTGATTTTCAAACAACTTAATAATTTAGTTACCATAATAAGTAATATTATCAATTATGTAGTTATCCGACCATCATTTATGAATAATTAATATCAAATTTTTACTGAAAGAGTTAGCAGATATAGGTACCTATAGCTATTGATTATAAATACTATTAAATTTAATAGTATTTATAATCAATGGTATAGCGTATAGAATAACTGTCAGTAGATTAGTAAGTAGGTAAATAACTAAACTAGCAATAATGCGGCAACTATTATATCAGTTATTCTATAAATACATTTTATCTAGGTATTTACAAAAATTACCTATCTGAGAGTAACACCTACGAGACAAATTCGAATTAACGATTTAAAATTAATGTGCAGAACATCACAAAATACCTATTGGCGTACGTCTTCACTTCGCCAGAAAGAATACACAGTACACACAGCCCTTGGGTAAGAAGTTATTATAGTAGGTGTAAATAGATTTTAAATTTATTTTACACGAAAATAAAATATTTCTACTTATATAAATCAACTTAGTAAATAATATATGTAGGTACCTACCTGTTTCCTGGATAGTTGTATAGGTTCCTCCATACTCATTAGTTAGGTAGATATCTACACGTTTAAAAAACTTAATTAAATAGTAACTAATTCGAATATTTTCATATTAGAATAATTTTCAGATTACACTCAAATAATTCAAATTAATCTTAAGAAGGGAGCAAATCATACATTTTTACTTTAAGTCCATCACAATTACGATATTAATTTAGATATAGGTAGATACTATTAAAAATTAACCACGTTCTGCGACTGCGACAACTCACAAACTCACAACCGAGTAATGAACCACAGTCAACAATAGTCAATAACTGACAATAATTTAGTGATAATAATATGTCACCAAGTCAGTGTTGAAGACGTGTAGTACACTAGTACTGTTGTGGCTAATGAGTCGTGAGTGTTATACTGTAGTGAACTAGTGTGTACTGGCCACTGGGTACAAAAATAGAAAGTAATATGTCAAATATCTGAATGTGAACTCTTGAACTTTTTAATCTACAATTTTAGTACAGTCATAATGTTATCAATTATTATCAAATCATTCTTATCACTGCACCGGCCATGTTATCTATGTTTTAAGATTGATAACAATTTTTACTGTAAAATTAAAAATTTCACTCAATACCTATCTTTATTCTTTATTATAATTTATAAAACTATCAATATTCTAAATATTTACCTATATATTATTAAAATGTATTGATGGTTTTTCGAGGTTAATACATCAAACTTCAATTTAACATCGTTTGGCAACACTAAATATCATACTATTTAAAAAAATTAAAGTCTAGTACTGTTATAGATATTTATTATGTTCTTTATGGCCTGCGTCTCAGCTATGATTACAATTTAATTGTAGTGGATCTCAATAGTTAATTTTATTTTTATTTCATATTTAGCCACTGAAAATGCCAGGTGCCAATTGCCTGTCATGTGGAGAGCTTTTTTATTCAGTTTCATTAGACGAAAAATCGTACTGTCAGTGATTTTTGGCTGCTCATTAACATACTGTATTGTCAGTTTCTTATTGATTGTAAGTATAGTAACCCTACAATATTAGTTAACATGGTTTTAATCTAGGACCTAGGTTCTGTAAAAAAAAACTCAATTTATCAAACTTTTAGTCACCCAGACGTACAGACACATGGCGAATTCCAAGAAAAATGGATCGCAGTACTTTCGTTTGGATGTCAGCCGAAGTCGATTTGAACAACTCATCACTTCAAAGTTGTCGGAATACTGTACAAGGCAGAGAATATATAGCAGATGACAGAGGTACTTATCATTTTTACAGTTAAGCTCAAATTACATTAGAGTGCATATAGCTGATGTACAGCATGGTCATTAACCGATCTTTTTTTTTAACAAAATACAAATTACAAAATACAAAATTCAAAATGTTAAGCTAGAGTAATCGCATGTACGCCAGTTTGTAATAATTATAATATATTTAAATATTAACATATTGTACAAATTAATACTTGTAACATTAATTTATAATTTGACAACTATTCTCTGCATAATGTTACACAACTGTATTAATTACAATTTTGATAATATAAAACTTGCTGCTACAACATATTATATTAGGATTTAGAACCATTTAAAAACAAAATAATTGTTATAGATTATCTTACATTTGTTTAGAAATGGTTTTTAGTTAATTATAACAGATGTACTTGGAATCCTCGAGATGAAAATGTAAACAAAATATTTACAAAAGTTGTTTTTTTAAGTCAAATGTTTGTTTTATAATTGATTTTACTTTAATCAATGTTATTAATTTTATAAATAAGTACTTAACATATTATTATATAACATTATAGTAAACCAATGTTTTTTTAATTCATTAACTTACTTTTTGAAGTTATTTATTCATTTTCCCTGTTAATCACATACAATTAATTGGAATAGAGCCTACTACTACTATTTGTATTAATAATGAAATTAGTTTTGTAACCATTAAATATTAATACAATTTATAATAATAGTTGTACAAATGCATATAGTTTATTCATTAATTATAAACCAAATAAATAAAAAATATTATACTTTCTTAATATAATCTTAGTGAATATGTAGGTTAGTATTAGGTACCTATAATAACCAATTTATAATTATTATTTTTAATTTTTTGACCATTATTTTTCAAAATTACTAATTATTTACCTTTAAGTTTTAAATTAAAATATATAATACCATTATGGAATTTACTTTTACCCAAAACAATGGATTAGTAGTATAATTTAAAAATTGATGTGAAATCTACAACGTACAACGGATACCTACTAACTAATAATCCAAAAAATTTACATTTTAAGTAGTTATAGTTAGATATTGAAATTAATCTTCTACCATAAATGTATTAATATTGTATATACTAATTTGTATTATTATATCTCGTTGTATATAAGTTAAAAACACATGATTAGAATTTTAATAGCCATATCATGTGAAAATTAATGTTCCTAGTACCTACCTCAAATGTGAGATAACATAACAAATTTTAGTGATGAATGAGCAAAGTGCATGTAATCCATTTTAATAGATTAAAATATACTTCTGTGTATAAGTTGGATTGTAATAATTATTAATAATTATAAAATACAAAATTCAGATAAGTTATGTTTTCATTATGTTTTATAAATCAATAAAGCTGTACCTACGTAATAATATAATGAAGGATTAGGACGTAAAAGCAATTACATATTATTATGTAATATTGTATTTAGGGGCGACGGGGGGTAATTGCCCCTGGGCGCCAAATTCTGAGTCCTCAATAAGGCGCCGTGGCTAGAGGTTATAACAACATTTTTTTTTATTTTATTAAATTTGTTGTTGAGAAATTATATTAGTGATAAACTGATAACTGATAAGTGAATACTTGTATCTTTCTTATAATATCTTTTACTTTTCTATACATATTTCTATATAATATATATATATAATGTATTTTATTAAATTGTAAAAAAAGACTAAAATCTAAATTATAATTTGTTTGTTTAATTATAAAGATTGACTTTTTATTAGGAATAAATGGAGTGTTAATGGTAAAATAAAAGTATTCTCTGAATAAGTGGAAGCATAAATGCAATAAGGGGTAAATATACATTTTGGGTTATCAATTATCACTTTTACATGGCTTGAAACCGATGAATTAATTTCTGTATTGGTTTCAGTTTTTAAACGGTTTATACCGGTTTCAAGACCTAGACTGTTTACGTTCATTCTTAGTTGATTAATTATTTTGAATCGCTGGATCGAGCGTCCGATCGCCTGTTGTGTAAAGTAAACTATCCAAAATGTCAAGATACAAAGATTTTCAAAAAAAAAACCGTTTTCTAAATTAAATTTTTGGTTTTTAATTATAATACAGGTATCCAATTTTTTTTTGAGTCGGTATTGTATTGAATTTAATACTGGTTTCGGTTTTGATTTTGTTCTCGGTTATGGTTTTATAACGGTTTATACCGGTTTCAAGCCCTTCACTATTTACTGAGAGAAAAAGTAAATTGTAAATTAGAGAGGACTTAAAAGTTTTTTGTGACAATGAGTAAAAAGAAACTGAGAAAAAAGGGACGCCAAAATGTGTGTACCTAGGGCGCCAAAATCGTAAATACGCCACTGAGCCATGTAGGTACATGAATATAAATGTAAGTTATTAAATTACAACATAAAGCTTTACATATAAGTAAACAGTTATTTCCAATTGCCTTACAACATAAAACAAAAACATTTATCAATCCTTAATCGATTTAATATAATTGTATCTATTTGTTTCTGTAGATTACAGCTGTATGTATCTCCATCATTTAGATATTTGACTTGATTTGTTTACCTTACAACTTTCTTTAGTTGTGCCTTAAATTTTTTTCAACATTGCCAATCCTTTTAAAAAAAATGTAGTTATTCGATCACTTTAGATCAATAACTTGTTTTCTTAATTACACAGCAAACTTGTTTAGAATAATGTGTCTTGTGTTTTGTCGTTTGGATATGTTTTTAATAAAAAAAAAAAATAAATATAAAACTTAGGTTTATACATTCTTTTTTGTATATTGGGTTGGTTACTGATTTGGGAGGATCACTTGTACGAGTAACGAATGTTCTCTAATTTCATATCAATGTTTCAACTTCATACTTATTAATATTATCACCCCTATTGCCCTATTCTAAAAATAAAATCTATTGAAATGTAATTGTTTTTTCAAAAAAAAAATAATAGACATTTTAGGTATAATTTTAGAATATTGTGAGTAATGAACATAATGGTTTTTAGAAATAGCATCGAAAAGTTATCCAATTTTTACTCTAAAATTAATACTCTCCTTACTGTCATTTTAATGCAGGCTATATCGAACCAGTTTAAAAAAAATCGTAATTGTTTTCATACGCATTTTAAGTTGACTATTATAGAAACTGTGAAAATGGCAATCCCTATAAAAGCAATCATGTACTTTATAATATTATAATTAAATATGTTCGTTTAACAGGTTATATATGTCAAAGAGACGATATCCTAGCGAACAACTGTTGCGGAACTACCGAAAAACGTTATATATGTGATACGTGCAACCCGGATGGCTGTTGTGTGCTGTACGAACACTGCGTGTCATGTTGCCTCAATCCCAATAAGGTTAGTCCTTGTAATATTAAAAAACACGATCATAATATTGTCGATGTCATAGCCACCCGGTTCATAGGCTCCAGGTTTTAAAAAATATGACGGCGGTGCCGATTCGACTGCCACCTTTACAGATGCCAGCAAAAAAAAAACTTATCAACGATTTTCTCGTTTAAATTAATTTAAAAAGTAATCTTACTGTAAAATAATAAATACCTATTGATTTAATATTTTTGAGGGTATCAACCCGTGTATACATGGCGCCTATGCACCTGAAATCATATAATTAAAAAAAAACCCAATAAAATAATTAATTGACGAATTCGTTTTTGTACATCCGATCACAGAGAAAATTATTAGAAACCGTGCTGGGCAAGGCTTCGGAGACGTTCCGTGTGCTGTTTTCGGCGATCAATAATCATTTTGAACTGTGCTTGGCCAAATGTCGAACGAGTTCTCAGAGCGTCCAACACGAAAACGCCTACTTAAAATCGAACAAACACTGTTACACGACGGCCGACAAAGTACCCTGACTGCAGTTGGCCGACACGTGGATTTTTTTTATTGATTGCATTCCAATATGCACATTATGTACATTAATCGTGCTGGGTAAAGTGCAATAATTGCAAACTGTTCTTGATCAAAGCAATCTCATACGGTTTGACATAATATCCATGTGTCGAGCACATCATTTTTATTGTTTATAATGACTGTCGATTTTATCAAGTCTATAATATTATTGTTATACTGGCATATGGTGTTGAAAACAAGTCTGTGTAATGTACAATTAGCAAATTAAAATTATTTTACTTCTTTTTTTTTTAAACATTTCAATAGTTATATTTATGATTATATTTTATAGTAATAGATAATTTAATTGTTGGTGTCATTTGTTTGTCCAGCCATGTAAATACCTAATACTTACTAGTTTTGGTACAAGCAATTTTTAATTTTTAATTTTTATAATTATTTATTACAAGATATTAGAATAAATTTAAAAAAAAATTGTTCTAAAACAAAATTTTAATAATAATACTATTAATACAAAACGAGACTGGATATCAAAATAAAATGTATCATATAAGTTACTATTGATATTATAATTTGTGAACAAATTACGGGATTTTCTATAAAAAATAATATTGGTAATATAAAATATACCTATAGTAAATACATAAATTAAGTTGTAACAAACTTTTGTGTTTTAATTTTATTTTCACCACATATCATTGGAAAAATATTATCCTCATCCAAAATAATACAGTATACGTTGTTAGTAGTTTGTAGCTATAGCTGACAGAAAGGTACTTAACCATAATTCTATTTTCTAATGTCAATACCCAAAAATGTATAGTATGTGATATACTAATATATATAGTTACCAGTCTTATCAAAATTCGTGTATGATGCGTTCTGTTTGGTATTGTTCCATTACAATATAATGGCGAACTGTGTGGGTGAAGTGAAATTTTATAACAGGCCAACATTTTAAGTTCCCAAACATATTTTACATACCTAGTATATTATGAAAAAAACGGATTAATTGTATAGTCACGGTTCTTTAAACATTGTACTGTTTATTGCATATTGAGTTATTACCATAAAAAATACAAAAATATCTTATTTCTAAGGAATTTAGTGTTCTTATATCTTAAATGAGCAATAATTTATTCATACAATACTTAATATTATAATAATACACTTAAGAGTATACAGAAGTAAAAAAGTTAAATGTACAAGTTATTAAATCGTATATCTAAGTAATGCTTAATATCGTTTTAAGCAATGATTTCTTACACTTTAGCAACTCTAAATTTTGTACGCAATTTTAATGGTAATCGTTACCAAATTATTACTACACAATTAAAAGATACAATAGTCATTTAATATAACTCGATCAATGTGAAAAATTAAAATAACAATCAATATCTTTCGAGGATTGTAGGATTTTTAGTAATCCCTTGTATATGATTATGAAAATAAATTGTTTATATATTGAACGAATTAACACAATTGTATTATAATTATGTTATATTATAAGTAGTTCCAAATTACATATGTACATTTTGCCTGTTAAAAAAATAAAATAGCTCAAACTATAATAATATTAAAGGACGCGTTTGTATGGAAGCGCGTCTTTTTGGCACTGAAGTTGGTCTTAAAAATAATTTTTATTTTCATAATCAACAAAAAATCAAAAAAATCGAAACATAAGAAAGCTAAATTGGTTCTACATAATATTATTATATACATGTTGAGAATATAATATCTACTATACATCTAAATTATAATCCGAATCTATCCGATGGTATTTTTTTAATATATTATGTATATTATTATATACCTAATATTATAATGATCTACACACAAAATAATAATAATAATATCAACAATATGCATATTATAATATTAAGTAGTACTTAATAAGTACCTATTTATGTGTTGCTGTCGCGTAACAAGTATATATATAGCGTTTATAGATAATAGCTTATATAGTTATATAGTATAATAATATTATAAACTAAATTGAATACATTATACATGAATATGCCTAGTATTATATATTTATATGTTAATATATTATATCTAATATATACCTAATATATAAGCATAGTTATTAAATCTAAAAAATAGAATATATATATAAAAAAAAAAAAAAACATGTATTTTATCTCGAACGAAAATCATCGTCGCGATTGAAAATGGCATCGAATCTCGTCGGAATAGCGACGAGCTATAGCGCCGCCGTAAGTATAATAATAATATGTATAGGTACATAGCTGGTATGAACGGTATACGTTTCCATATGGGTACTATACTACACTATGTGTTACGTGTGTGGTTTTTTTCTTAAGGAATTCATCGGATTTCTTTCACGTTATATTATAATCGTTTGCTGCGGCGATCAGAGCAGTGATAAAGGCGATATATGAAATCGATGGTAAAATAATATAGTTGTATTACCCTATAGGCATATGGTAGGAGAAGGTATAAAACGTCTTGTTCGGCCATCGCGGACGACCACATTGATTATTATTGCGAGAGATCATGACACGCGTCCGGCCCACCGATCGATGCGTTCTTCTGAGTAGTGAATATTAGTCGAATAGATATCATATTATAATATTACAGGTAGGTATTACTGTTACACGGACAATATCTTGTGTAGGACTACGTAGGGCGCTATATTATATGTCTATAGTTCAATATTCGTATACGCGACTACTATAAATATAAATATATAAAAATACCTATGTAATATTTAAATATTTTATAAACAATAATAAAAAAAAGGGTATAAAATCGGGAGAGAAAAAAACATATAGTCAAATATATAATATTATAGTATTCACTTAAACAATAATCAGTACATCATTCCGGGGTGGATACCGGAACGGTGAAAAAACACGTTGGGGTTGTTGGACATGGTCGGCTCCATCGTAGTGTAAATGCTGTTGTCCATTCCCGAGAAATTGCACATATCTAAAAGCGAAAAGAATACGATTAGTTTTGTTTAAATGGGGGTGCGTATAAAGTTGTAAAATATAATACTGTGCTGGGCTGGTAATTTGATTTGGAATTGAGTAAAAAAAGTTATTGACCTCGGAGTTCTACGAGCCGATGGATAAAACTATTGGCTTAAAATAACCCATAAGGGAGCTTATATATAAATAAACCAATAAGGGATATATTTTTTCGGGTGGTTGCTAAATCGTAGTTGGAGCCACCAATTGAGCTACTGAGGCGATGTCAACAAAACGAAGGCATGCAGAATAGGTAAGTTAATCGTATAGAAATATCATATAATATACCGGGTGGACATCTCGAGTAAATGGGCTGCTGCATGTGACCTCCATGGTGACCACCTCCGCCACCTATCAATCCTCCACCACCGCCTCCACCACCACCGCCGAGTCCGTGGTGCGGATAATAACAGTACGGGTAATAGTGGTGAGCGTACGTCGGCGGGGCTACGAGCGCCACTCGGTCTGTAAAACAAACGAAATGGTACAGATAAAAAATGTATAATAATGATGTTATTATTATAATGTTATATGTAGAAGACGAGATAGTTGATGAAATTTAAATTGCCACCGCCGTTCCTTTACGTCTACTGAACGTCTGCACGCCCCGGGCATACATTATTATTATTATATTATAATTAACGAATATGCTCATAATATAATTATACAACGCGTACGATTTTCACGTATATATTATATTCGTTTTCGTGATATGCTAATTGTTTTAATATCAGATAGGCATGGAAGATGTATTTTTATTTTTTTTGTCTTAGAGAAATCGTTTTCAGGAGTACCTATATTTTCACTTTTCGTCTCTTATTTCGTTTCATATTCTAAACATTTTATGTGGCATACAATTTGTATGTTTGGTATTTACTCTGAATCGAAATCGTGTGTGAAGTATAGGTACACAGTACACTACAGTATGACAAAATGTGAAAAGAACCATGTCTCAACGACAGCCTTTAAATAATATATTAATTTATACAATTATAATTTATAGAATCATCGAAAGGTTGTACCTACACTTGTACGAATTGACATAGCGATACATCAATTCACACATAACCAGCAGTAGGAACATGTAATATATATATAATATGTATAATGTTTATATTATAATATGTTATAAATTAAAATTTGATATTTATAACGGCTTGTACTGGCTGTATTATACTATAGTATATGTATACAGGCTTATCGGTAAATGTGTAATAATGTAATGGTATACCGCCTATGCCCATATTTTAAATAATATATTGTGTAAGTAGGTGACACCTAACGCTTATTACAACGTGTGATCGATTACTGCTTACAATTATTAATATTAAAATGTTTTTTTTATTTTATCAAAACGTTCAAATATAATGGGAAATTAGATATAGATTATTATAGCCTATAATGCCAACAGGTACCATTGAACCTATAATAGCTTTATATTATAATTTATATAACAACATTAATATCTTGGCAGTTTAATATTGTCATATTATACATTTATACCTAGTACCTACGTTATTTGATAGGTATAGATCATAAATGTGCATTAATTAGTCTGTTTATATACCTAGTCATACAAAATATTATACAAGTGGCGATTATAATATTATCACAGAAACTCGATATTCCTATTTCCTACAACTAATATAACCTATTCTAGCTTATAGATGACTTAACTGTTGGATTAATTTAGGTTCAAAATATGTTGGATTAGGCAGTAGGCCAGGTTTAGAGTGGAATGTCGAGTAGATATATTATGATATTGAAAAAAAAATAAAAACAAATGTTGAACCGACTTAACCGAGACCGAGAACTGAGAATAAGTCGCCCAAAAAAAGTGTGAAGCCCGAAATACGTGGACGCCGGCACCCAAGTTCCCTGCAATGGATACATGCTCTGTTATATAAATTGTGGGTTGTAAATATTGTAATTATGACTGGTGGTGAGCTTTACTATTATACGTAATAAAAATATTCGTCACGTTTGTCGACGACGTTTAACGAAGAAAAAGTATCAGACTCAAAGAATGTACGCGCGTTAATAAGGGTTCGCTCCAGTAAATATACCGACACGGTGGGTATAATATGCGATAAAATGATTCCAGAACGAACTCGTTGGTTTGATAAAACGTGTCACAAGCGTTAAATAAATAATAATAATAATATTTATAACGCGAAATTTCCGAATTTCCTACGGTGCCTACAGTAATATTGATGCTCTGGCCCCCCTTTTCCTAGTTCCCAATGAACCCCTCCTAGCAGTTAACGCGAATAATAATTATTATGATATTAAATTAAAGTACAAAAGGCGACGGTATATTATTCTATACAGGCATACAGCGTATTACACTTTTGTCCATGATGTAATAATTGTATTATAGCTTAATATTTTAAACACCTTAGTCGATACGTTATAAAATTATTTAATATTCCGTTCGCCTCTCACATGCACCGCGCATACGATAAAACGCGTGTTTATTCTATTTTAATACCTAATATAGATGTGCAAAAACGGCCCACTACCGTTAGCCGATAAACAATATTCCTTTATTTTATTTCCAACACGTTTTTTTATGTTTCAAGAGTATATGGCGGAATTTTAGGGATGGGGGACGCAAAACCTCATGTGCACTCATAACACATAACGTAGTATATGACTTCGCGATCGCATTATATTATTTAAATGTATACCTAATGCGAGGATGGGCGATTTACGCATACAGAGTTCGTTGTGAGTTTTAAAATCAACCTGTCCAAGAATATTATATTATCATGTCGTCGAAATATATACCGCGTATAGGGTTTTTTTTCTTTTGCTGTAGCGGCTATACCTATGTGTTTCCATTTCGTATATTATTATTACTATGTACATATAATAAACTACGTTAGACCCGGCGGAATGCGGTATATTACACGTGTTGGTATATATAATAATATGTACAATAGCGGTATACGGAATCGTTAAAAATAGATTAGAGGAAAAAAAGTATCGTCTGGAGAAAATTCGACTGCATCATATAGTGCATATGTCATAATGCAGCTGTAGGTGCGGCTAAACAAACGTAGTTACTGACGTCTACGGTGTGGACTCGGATGGGAGTTTAGGAAAACAAATGGTCCACCAGAAACGTGCTCCGATCGCCGAAAAATCTCTGCAGTTGTATCCCCAAACAATCCCCGTAGCTTTACGAATGCATAATAACCTGCTATACATACATTTTTTATAGAGAGACTTTGAAACCGTAAATCTATGAAGATGGTCGAGGAGTAAATATGATTAAAAATCTTGGGGGGTTGGTAGAAGTATAAATTAAACACTTGTTAACATAATTTATTACGAAGTTAAGTTAGTGAATATTTAGGGAAGGCCCAATCCCCTCAACCCCTCCTACTATAATTTTTACTCCTATTGGTGAGAGATGAGGTGCGATTGACGATACGCTACTTATGAGTTTTGACCTGACATTTTTGTACGAAGACCCTAGTCCATTATTTATATTTATATTAAAGACGAATTAAGATAATTTAAGATAAACTTATCACTCTATTTATATATTTTTTAAGGGGCCCACGTCTCACGACCTTATTATCGGCCACCAGTGGGGACTGGGGACTTTATTAGAACTCAGCTCGGAACACAATGCGTGGGTACTTATAAATTATTATAACATAGAATATTATATTATTATGAGCCCCGCGGTGGCTTACCTCCGAACGTATTGATCGTCGACGTGTGCTTCATTGGCGTCATGAACGGTTTGAAGTGGAAGAAAGACGGGGACGCAGGCCTGCTGAGCGTGCTGAGCTTGTCCTCGTCGTACAGGCCGTCCCGGCCCATGGCGGCCAGCTGTCGGCCTTTGGGCATGAACATGACGAGTAGCACTAGCGCTGCCGTGGCGCCCAGGCCCAGCGCCAGACACCCGTCCTGGTCACCTGGTTGCGTAGCCCACAGCCCGGCCACGGCCCAGCCAACGCACAGCGGCGCCGTGCAGCCGACGGCCAGCCCGATGTACATCGCCTCGCGGTAGTTGTCCCGTATGTGCCGCGACTTGATGGCCAACACGGTGACGGCCAACAGCAGGCCGGCCGCGTACACCAGTGAGCCGAGCATGTGCTGGTACTTGGTGTCACAGCTGTTGTCCAGGCTGCTCGTCCACTGCAACAACCACGTCGTTAGCACACAATTTAAATTTTTATATTTACATAGTATTATTACCAATATGTATTATAATATCAACTTTAAGTTGTTTGTAAACATTTAATACATTTTTCAGTAATATTTTAACAGTTTGGAAGTTTCTGCTTTTTAGACTTTCTTATACTTACGTAATTTAGTTTATTTATTTATTTGAATTAAAGCCTGTTGGGCGTTGGCTATCAGGCTCAAGGGTGGATATACTATTTAAACTAGCCCATGATTGTTACGAACTTACGATGATTAGTGTATTACTGGCAATAATATAATAACATACATGGCTTAAAGTGGGGGACTAATGTCTCCATATAGTTGTAAGCGTTCCATATATAATTTTATATATAATGCCTAATGTAGTAATGTATATATATTATATTATTATGTAATGTATAAACAGTGATTGCGTGTAAGCGCATATACTCATCCCACTTTTAACCCTGAACAATTTTAATTCTAATTTGTTAAAGGGATGATTTTTAACCATCGTCAGAAGTAGGGAAGCCGAGCCCCCCTGCGCCAACCCCACACTTTAACCCATGATAACATGAGTCATAACAATTAACAATATCTTGACTAACCTGGGACGATAGGAGTTGCGGAGGTGTGTAGATGAGCCATTGGACGCCGATGGCCAGCTGTATGGCCACGGTGAAGAACAGCAATAGCGCCTGGTACGGTGCGGGCAAGTAGACGCCGCCATTGAGGCTGATGAGGAACACACACTTGACTAGCAACGTGCCGAACACCATCGAGTACCCGAGCCCGGTGCACAGCCTGACGGTTGCGCACGTCAGCACAGTTGGCTGTGTGCACATGAGCCCGCTGACTGCCGCGCACACGAACAGCCCGCCCAGCAAAGCCTGTCCTAGGAACAGATGTCTCCGGCTGGGCTCCGTTTTTCTCGTCTTGCACAGCACGAACACCTGCAGGAATATAACGGCCGCAGTGTCACTTTAGTGCATATTCTTCATGTTACATATATATGTATACCGAATAATGTCTTATCCCGACATAGAACAACAACAACAATATAATTGGAGTGAACTTGCTAATAAAATATTATTGAACTTGGACCGAAACATATATTTTATTTTTTTAATCTATAATATCTTCAACGCTCACACATGACTTCGCGACTTAAAGTTCAAGCACTGAGTTTGAGTGTATATGTATATTGACAGGTGTTAAAGACGACTTAATGGCGATGTGGAAAGTTTCTAAAGTATTAATTTACTTAAAAATATAATACATAATAATATTATGTTTTGGTAACAAGTAAAAACGAAGTATTGAGAGACCCGATAAAAACATAATATTTTCTTATGACATTTCTCCTCGTTCAAATGTAATGTCTTACAATACTGAAGGTTTAAACGAAAACGTCTAAAGCATATAAGCAGTAGTACACAATATACGTAAAAAAAATTAAGACATTTTCTTTGTCAATCTGGATCATATATGTATTGTATAGTTACACAGTTTTGTATTAAATTATAAGTTGAATTCTATAATTTTGTTGTTTCTCTAGCCTTTTATTATTTAAGATCAAAATGTCTATTTTGCATGTAAGTTATTGTAATTAAATTGTATTAGATGGTTTATTTTGTAGAGTCGATCTCTCACTTCTGCAAAACCACCGGCTTAGAGGTGACCACCATATTATATTTGCTTGCATAGTCGAGAGACATTTTTTACTCAAGATTTCCCAGCCTCTCCGACGAGTCCAACCACCATGCATTTCTCCGACCGTGATATATATATATAATATATATACCTAACTTATATCTGACTTACCTAACTTCAGGACTCCACGTATTGTGTGATGTTATATTATTATAACTTATAAGCATAGGAAATACTGAATATATATATAGTCACCTCGAAAGTCATTATCAGCGTCATGGTGAGCACCGACAGTATGAGCACCGGCAGCACCCAAGCGTCGCGCCGCAACAAGGTGAGCGTGGCCGCGGCATACTGGTGGACACCGGTGTTCGGTGATCCCGTCGTGATAATCACACCCGGCGGCGAAGTGAACGGGCCGTGGGACGGCAACAGGAACATGTCCGTGTTCATCCCCACCCGTCCGCCGCCTCCAGTCATCTGTACCACGCTGGCGGCCGCCTCCATGTCATCGCTGCCCGGTCATCATCGCACCTGTTGACAGCGTTCGGGTTTAATATTTGGGAATCGTTTTATTAAGACCATATTAAATGGGTGTAATTATGAGGTAGCTGGTACTTAAATGTTAATAATACACATTAAAACCAAAATTCAAAAACTTTGTTGGAAAAAAATTATTCGCGGAGAAAATTGCGCCGACCCATATCGTAGATCTGAAACTCGTATCTAAATATCTAACACTTTATATTATTATTCCCATACGGATTATACCAAACACGACACGACCATACATAATATTGCGAACATTTTGATCAAACTTAGGTAGTAGGTATAAGTTTACAGTAAACCTACAGACTATACAGTATAATCGCATTGCCTCGCGTCATTATAATATAGTGTTTTTTTTTTATTAATTCTCCGCAGCTGCAGCCGAGTGCGCAACATTCTTTTAGAGACGTGTTATTTTTATATATTATTATACTCTAATGAAAAACAGATTATATTATATTGACGGATGCGCATGAACAGAGTAATTTATTTATGTTTACGCCTGTGTCACCTATAGTCCATATAGGTTTATATACGCTGCGGGTAACTCGTCGGTATAAAATATACATATAATATTATACATAGATATAAGCCCCGTTAGGGGCGCGATCGGTCGGATTGTTATATATTACATTAATACATTATTATATATAAATTATATTGTACATCGATAATGGACGTTTAATGGGTTATTTAATGCCCGAGCTGCAGACTCATTTCCAACAGATGATAATAATATGTACCTATATGTACCTATATATAAATATTATATAATTATATGTGCGAGTGTTTTTTATCATCTGTCTTCAGTGATCGTCTCTCGTGTATTACTTCAATACTATATAGTATAATATTATTTCCATACTGCTCATACGTATAATACCCTGAAGGGTGGTGTACTCGCTCGCGAGACTCGGGCAGAATACGGTTGATGAACCGAAATAAATACCCAGGACATATTTTCAATGAATTGTGGATCGTAAAATCCTTCTTGAAAATTTTAGGAAAATCCACCGGAAAAGTAGGAAATCTTGATGTAAAAAATACAGCAGTGGCGCAACAGGGTATTATATATTGGTTGCTATTGGTTAATCGGGCATGTTTGTTGATTTGTATTATTATTTTTTGTCAACATATATATAAATGAATGTTTGTGTGTAGATTAGACCTCTGGGAAGAAGACAGGCTAGTTTTAAAATGGTTAAATTTATTTTTTTTTATTCATCTGATTAGTACGGTTAGGATTTTGTATTAATTGATTATATTAATCCACCATAGGTGGAATACGACAAACGTTGTATAACTTTGATACTTTAGAGTTAAGTCATACCCTTACGTATAAACAGCATGGGGTCCGCGATCTATGCCAGGTAGATTGCCTACCTGATAATATACTGCTGTGAATCCGCTGCGGGCAACGGGAAAGTTAAGATAAATTTTGAACACCATACACCGAATATTAAATAACGAATTGAACCAAGTTTAAGAGGACGCTACACCCGCATGTGTTGTCTCCGTCTTACACACGTACGACATAGACAAAACGCGTTTAGGCAGTCTGAGTATAACTCGCTCAATTTTGGTTCTAGAATAAAAATACCTATTATGAAATTGAATTGTGATAATATTTCTAAGGGCAAAACGCTGCGGTTTTTTTAAAAAATTTAATTTTTTAAAAGTCAAAGGTATTTTAAAAATGGTGAAATTTTTTCTATTTCTAAACGATATAATGAACGTTATATTGGGTATAATGGAAAAACCGCAGCGTCTTGCCCTTAGCAATATTATCACAATTCAATTTCATAATAGGCATTTTTACTCTAGAACCAAAATTGAGCGAGTTATACTCAGACTGCCTAAACGCGTTTTGTCTATGTCGTACGTGTGTAAGACGGAGACAACACATGCGGGTGTAGCGTCCTCTTAAGTCATATAGAGTTAGTACATTTAACGGGTAACGTAGTGCACGGGATCAACTAGTAGGATATACATAAAATAAAATTATAATATCTTATTGTAAGCAATTCCTCTTAAAAACTCTATAACTGGAACGTTTCCGTGATTTCGTTTCACGTTTTGGATTCTATCCTCTCGGTACTATTTAATATTTATTTTATCGTTATCTGTGCATACAAAGTTATTTATCTCAACGTTAAGCTATATAATTTAATCTTTTTTTTCGATAATTTGTACTTGTCGATACATTGACCAGTCGACATTTTGTACTTGTCAATGTTTCGACCGTCGATATTTTAACTTTTCGATGTTTTGTACCAGACCCAATATAGTTATGTCAATACAAGTCCACGGAAGTCGTATAGAGTATAAAGTATATTAACTATATATTATATGGATCGAATTGCATTGCATTTGTGCGTTATTTTTGGATTATTAGATCGTCTAGATCATTTATCAACACTATAAAATATGTATTTCAGCATTTGATGACAAATACAATTTTTAATATCTATGTAGGCATAGCAATAGTATGCAAATAAAATATTTAAAAACCTTAGTAATTTTAAAACAAATATCTACTTTGATTTTAGATCTTAATCTTATGGCCGTATCATATATGAATTCACGACCGCGACCATAGTTTATACTTCGAAGACCGTTTTTTTTATTTTATAATTTATCATACTTTTTTATTATAGGTGTGTAAACTGATTTCAATGCAAAACACGCCTATCCGAGAATAAAATATAATAGATAATAATAATTTGTGTATGTTTTCTTGGTTTTTGAACGCATATTTGTATGCTTTACAAGTACATAACTGCCTTTGTTTTTAGAGCCTTAAAATAAAAGTATGTATAAGTATATTATCGCAATAGTGCAATAACATATAATATTATCGACGACTTTTTATTACGATTATTATTAACATTCGATACGCGAACGACCCCCTGGACGGCAAACCTGAAAACCGGGCAACATAATAATAATCGTCTCTGTATATAAATAGTGAAATAGCTGAATATTATAACATCGTTATATAATTCCGCGCAGTAATCTGTATATTCGTATTATATATAGGTATGGTAATAACATTATTGCAAATTGCAATAATAAAACATACCTTCACGCGCGTGGATGTAATATTCTCAACGCGATCTCATTTCGCGCCGTGAGTGTGTGTAGGTACATACTTACGACTCGCCTTTTTATGTATTAAGTATATTATGATATATTACAATGTGTGTATGCGTATTAGTATTAGTTATTATATAAATGCGATACACGCGATATAGGAGAAGGAATCGTTCGTATAATTTCAACCAATAATAATTATAGCACGCGACCAGTCAGCCACACACGAACACGACGCCGTATGTATATTATAATATAATATTATTATTTAATATCTGTACGAATACTGCCAGAACATAATATGAGATCGTGACGGTGGCATGATGTACCTATATAGGATGGAGTATGGACCACCGTGTTTTACGTTCGGTCGTTTTATTAAAGCTGGGTTCACCGGGTTCACTGGGTCAACTGTGGTGTCAAAAAGTTGAGCTTGGCCTAACCGAAAATTACTTGCTAGACCATGAACGATACAACAGCAATACGAATACGATATACAAGGTACGCGACACGATAGATGACGTACTTGCGAACTCGGCTTAACACGGGGAAATGGGAGATCACGTCGGGTCACCCTATATGTGTAATGTGTGCAGATATAGTAAACATAATTATGTAAAATATGTGAGAAGTGGCTGTTAAAAATGAATTTTGGTAAAAACGTTTTGTGATAGGTAGTTACGAGTGTTTAACATTATAATATATAATTGTATCATAAATAGTATTGATGATATAGTGGGTATAATCGTTGTCTATATTGTATTATTACTATTATTTTTATAGGTAGTCGTAATCTTATCAAGATTGAGTATAGTTAAATCGTTATATTACTACAATATATTATTAAATATTTTTAATTTTTAAATGCGTTCACGTACTATCGTGTATCTACACCTATTGTAAATAGTTATTTCATATTAATTAACACGAATGTCCTTCATTCGAATCTATTTTTTATTTTATTTTTTGTATTTTTAATGTTATTGAAATAATAACGACGTGTTATGTAAAAGTAAACATCTATAATAGCTATTCGAAAACAGCTAGGTGTCAAAATGAATAATAATTATTAGTTAATAACATATTAAGAGGACGTTATCCCGCATACGTGGTAAGTAGCTGCTAACTATCCGTCTTATTAACGCATAAAATTGCTAATTTTACGTTAAGAAGGTTTTACTCTGTTATTTTTAAAAAAAGTGAATTAACCAATTATCAAATTTAAAGGTAAGAATATTATCTAGGGAACCTAGAAAATCAAAAGGTTTTTTTATATTTGAATTTTGAAGCAATATTTATGACTTATGACCGTTTTAAAATATACAAGATAAAGTAAAATGAATTTAAAATGTGACGTGCTATGCGTTTCTGCGTTAGTAAGACGGAGAGACAAAAAATTCAGGTATAACTCTCTCAAAAAACCTTAGAATAATTTCTAGAGACTCGAGTTATTGTGGATGATACATATTATTATATTATATTATAATATAGTCGTCAAGAACATGTTTCATTACACTAAGACAGTACGTACATAAGTACACTTGCTATAACTTAACTATTTTATTATTATTTTTAATAAGTAACGGGTAGGAAACTTAACATTATGATTTCAATTTAGCCACATCAATATTTTCAAAAAAATCCAAGTATTTGAAAATATAGTATTTTTTTCCTAGGAATTCTTTAAATCAGAATTTAAATAAACGCATGATTGAAGGATAAAATTGGAGTGGCCACACTCTGTAAATCACCTTAATATATAATATTATAGTATATTATACGACATCGATATTCGCAAGTAGGTAAACTGTAGTTGCAGCGGCATCGACACGTCGCGTCTTGATGGGTTAACCGGTCGTAACTAC